AGTCAGCTGAGACAAGCTTATTGCTCTCTTCCTCTTCCATCTTCTTTGAATCTCCAGGCTCTGCAAAACCCTGCAGATCAAAGTGAACAATGTAGAAGTCCCACCCCTTGGCATCCTGGGTGCTACTCTTAAATCCTCTCTCTATGGCTCCTTTCAGGTAGCAGGAGGGTCCCAAGGTGGCCTGGCCAACCTACAGCTGGGCCAAGATAGCAGCTCTAGAGTGGTCTGACCTACGAAGTACCAGGTGCTCTTTCCCAGACATCCAGACACCCCCCTCCCGGCCTTCTTTCTTGCTCAGCTCTACCCTTCTCTGACAGCTGTTTCAAACTACAACTCAGCCCCCACTTAATTTTTGTTTATGTCTCTTATCACGGTATTGTAATTATTTATTCTTGTCTGTCTTCTCTCACTATAAGCTGCAGGAAGGCAGGGAATTCTGTTTTGTTCACTGTTACAACTCATCTCCTAGAAGAGTGCCAGGCACATAGCAGGCGTTCGTTAAATGATTGTATACTGAATGAAGGAATCCTGCTGCCATCTGGTCAGACATTCCACCAAATTTTACCATGTACCTGACAAAGGTCACAACTCGTTAGCTCTGAGCATCAAGGAAAGATAACTTTTCTAAAACATTTTTTTATTCATTTATTTGGTATATGGTCTTTCTATGTAGCTTGGACTCATAGTGATCCTCCTGTCTCAGCCTCCCTAGTACTGGGATTATAGGCATGTATCACTATGCCCGGTTTCAGTGGCTGCCATGACATGCAGTACCAGGGATCGAACCTAGGTCCTTGTGCTTGCCAGGCAGGTGTTTAGACCACCAAGCTATCTCTCCAGCCCAGAAGAACTATTTTTTACATTTTTTTTTTTTTTTTTGTGGTACCGGGGATCACGTTGGGACCTTGTGCTTGCCAGGCAGATGCTTATGCTGCTGAGCTATCTCCCTAGCCCTGCATCCTATATCTATCTATCTATCTATCTATCTATCTATCTATCTATCATACAGTTAGATAGATAGATAGAGTTTATTTGCTTGTTTTTTGAGGCAAGGTCTCACTATGGAGTGCACGCTGGCCTTGAACTCATGGTATTCCTCCTGACTCAGCCTCCCGAGTGTTGGGATTACATGTGCGCACCATCACACCTGGCTTGCATCCTACTTTTACAAACTTTTTATTTTTTATTTGTTCTAGTGCTGGGAATCCACCCAAGGGCCTTGGGCATGCTAGGCAACCCTCTATTGCAGACCTGCCTCTGTTCCTCATTTTGTTTTTCTGTTACTCCCTTGTGCCCCATTACCCTTACATATTTTTCTTAATATTTTTGCACCCGCTTTTTATACAGAGGTAGTGCCTCTTGATACAAAATACATCCTTTTATTTTAAAATTTATTTATTTATTTGGTACAGGGTCTTGCTAGGCAGCTCAGAGTCATAGTGATCTTCCTGTCTTAGCCTCCCCAGTGCTAGGATTATAGGCATGCACCACTATGCTCAGTTTTGGTGGCTGGCATGGCATGCAGTACTGGGGATGGAAAGCAAGTCCTGGCGCTTGCCAGGCAGGCACTTAGACCGCTGAGCTATCTCCCTAGCCTCATCCTTTTAACTTTATACATAGGGCTCTGAAGTCTCAAAGAACAAGTCAGTAACTTATGTAACTTGAATAGAACATGACCTGATTTCCAGAGCCTGCACAGAACTAGTTGCTCCAGTGGATCAGAATCTCTCGATTTTTCTCAGCTAGTCTCATCTTTCAAAAGGCATCCCTTCTGCTTTAAATTCTTCTGTGAGTACCTACTTCTAGTTACTCCCTTCTTCCCATTAAAGAAAATCATGAGAAATTTGCTGCCATTTTTCGCAAGGTCTATTTGCCACAGTCACAGGTATAATAAACTGAAGGTTCTCTCCTCTACTTCCACTAAAAAAGGTAAACTTCTATATGCCTGCTGAAGCTTGTATATATTAGGAACTTCAAAAGTTGGAGGAAAAGAAATGAGTAAGGATCTGCTCATGATAATATTACAGATAAGCACTTTATAGAAGTGCTAAGATTAGATTATCCTAAGATTAGATTACTAAATTAGCTGCTATGAGCTGGGCGTGGTGGCACATGCCTGTAATCCCAGCACTCAGGCTGAGGCAGGAAAATAGATTCAAGTCTGAGTCCAGCTTGGGCTACATGTGAGTTCAAGGCCAGTGTGGACTACATAGGCAGACCCTGTCTCAAACAAATAAACAAAATTTTTTTTAAAAAAATTAGTTTCTTCAAAGATGTAAACAGTCTCCAGAACCAAAACATAAAAATGTGTCCAAAAATATCCTTGAGACTGTAATGTGATGATATCTTATCAACTATGGGGCAATTTGACTGCCGTAAGGGTGTTCTACATGGAGACTATAAAAGGGAATAAGCACCCAAGCAGATCCACTCTTACCTGAGAAGCATGCAAGTTGGAGGAAGTGCAAAGTTCTTCTGGGTTCTGTTCAGAGGTGTCTTCCTTTTCTCTGGCCTCAGGAGACCTCAGTGGCTTCTCTGGTGGCTCTGGATCAGAACCTGCGTCTAAGGAGGCCCCAGGACTTGGGGTCCCAGGCTCCAAGAGGGCCTTGGGGCTTGGAGGGGCTTTGGGAGGAGGAGGCCGACTGGGGGGCACTGAGGTCCTCTGCACAGAGGCTCTCTTTGGCTGTTCGGATCCTTCACTGGAGGCACGAGTTCGGAGGGTTACTTCTGGGAGGGAGGAAGCCTGCTCTGAAGGGGTCAGAGCTCCATCTGGTGAAGGAGCTGGGGAGCAAGGGAGAGCTTCCTCCTGGGAGTGGTTACCCTCAGTGGTGGGAGAGGGCTGGGACTGGGCTGGGCCATTGCAGGCTGGCAGAGGCTCTTCCTCCTCAGAGGTGCTTGCTTCAGACTCATCCTCTTCCATTCCCTCATCTTTTAAGGACTCTTCTCCCTGGGCTGCACCAGGTGTCAGCTCTTCCTCAGCTGCTTCACTCTCACTCGTCAGGGAAAGTGCAGAGGGACTGGTAGGTGAGGTGACAGCGCTGGAGCTGGTTGATGTTCGAACTGGGGAAGAGATGACTAAAGAGCGCCTGCTGCTGCTAAAAAATGAAGGGCATTCCAGGTCAGAAATGGAAGTTGGAGGTAACCTTCCTTCCCAAAAGCAATTATAGCTGGTCTGGGTGGTGCATACGCACTCTGCAAACACTCTGAGAAGCTGAGGCAGGAGGACCACAAGTATGACTTAGTTTAGTGAGATCCTATCTCTAAATAAATAAATAAATAAATAAATAAATAAAAGGGGACTGGGATGTAATTCAGTGTGAAGCCCAGTATCATAAAAAGCAAACAAAACAAAAATAATCATTCACACAAAGTAATAAAACAGAATGAAGAATTTAAAATGATGTTAGAAGACATAAAACATTTTTAATCTACATGATATTCTCAACTGTGTAAAGACTGGAAAGAAACAATAAAACATTAATATTTCTTCTGGGGAAAGGATTATTGGGTGCTATACAGGTGGTGCGTAGTTTTTGTATCTGTATATTCCCAAACTGTCATGGTTTGTATCCAGATGTCCCCCCAAAGCCTAACGCAGTCACAGGTAGAGCTTTTCAGAAGCAGCTGGATCTTGAGCGTGTGATGCTGTGATTGAGAGTTTGTGATAATAAATCAGTCCGCCGACTGGTCTGGCAGAGTGGTGAATGTGGATAAGGGGAAGCTCATCCTGAGTGTGAGTGCTGCCTATCCTAAAGGCTTGCAGCCTGGCTAGCGCAGAAGGGGCAGAGAGCGAGCTACCGTGTACTTGCTTCTGTGCCGCTCGCTGCCTGCTTGCCCACCACGAACTCTTCCTTTTCTGCGATGTCCCTCTGCCATGCCACCCTGCCCTGGAGCCAGCTGACTACGAACTTGAACCTCTACAAACAGTGGGTGACAATAAACCTTTCCTCCTTTAACTTGGGGTGTCAGATACTTCCTCTCAGCAATGAGAAAAAGTAACTAAGAGGCCTACTTATTTTAATCCCAACATTCGTACTCCTGGTGCTCTCCCAGTCATTTGTGGACAAGTGCCACTGATAAAAAATGGTTCATCTCAGGCACACTTTCAGCTGAGGGCACACAGGCCAATGGTCTGCCTTTCTGTTTCAGCTCTCATTCTGTAAACCAGTGCCCCTTCACCAACCTTTTTGGATCCTTGTGCTCTTTCTTTATTGGTGACTTTGCTATTTAACATGGACCCCAACCTAAAGTGATATGCCTTATACAGAAAATACATTTGTTAAACAAAACCTCCTCCAGGCATGTGTTATAGCCCTGCTGATTTTGAGTTCGGCATTAAGGACGGTGATCATCATCCTAAGATTATCACTGTCATCTTTATTTTTTGTTTTTTTCTGAGGCAGCCCGTGCACACCTTGAACTTGTGGCAATCTTCCTGCCTCAGTCTCCTGAGTGCCGGGATTACACTGTTCCACCCCCACCCCAGGCAACAACAGCACTATAAATTAAAGGCTTTAAACATAAATTCACATCAAACAAGGTTATATAGTGTTTGGTGGATGAAAATGTTGTGACTTGTAGCCACCTAACCCTGTTTTCCCAATGAACAATGATGAAGTAGTCTGTTTATGGCAACTTCAAAACTACCACGAGCACTCACTGAAGTAACATTTATCCAGTACATGACATGTGGGTGCACTTCCACAGCCATTATCAGCTTAATGCCTACTTCACCTCCTCCTGTGCCTCTTATGCACTATCCAGTGGCTGATTAAGCAGCCCACAGATATGCACTTGACAGGGTCCAACTACATGCTGTGTCCTGGGCATAAGGATGGGAGAGGACGTGAGACACTTGTCCTCACCCTGAGGAGGTTCTGATGTTGGATAAGCTATGGGACCTAAAGTTCTTTCTAGCACTAGAATTCTAGGAGTCAGTTAAGTTTAGACGACTCAGGACATGAGCTAAAAACTGATTTTTTTCAAAGGTTCTGGGATAGCTGAGTATAAAGGAGAGTAAATTTGGGGAAATGAGACAGTTTCAGACAACTGTGCCTTTTACCAGTAGATAGAGGAGAAACGCAGCTTTTGGGCCAAAGGAAATTTGGGAAGTTGTGAGATCTAACATGTGCCTCAGAAGTCATTTGTGCAGAGATGGGGCCTTCAGAAGATGATTCAAGCATGAAGACTGTAGCTTAATAAGTGGATTAATCGGGGCCGGGGAGACAGCTCAGCAGAATAAGTGCTTGTCTGGCAAACCCAAGGGCCTGAGTTCAATCCCCGGTTCCACCAAAAAGAAAAAAGAAAAAAAAAAAAAAAAAAAAAAAAACCAAGTGGATTAATCTATTGACAGGATCATAATTTAATGGCATTATCGAGAGATGATGTAAACTTAGATGGTAAGGCCTGGCTGTGGGGCATGGGTCCTGGAGCATGACCTTGGAGACTGCAGTTGCTCCCCAGTCCTTTCTTTTCTAACTCATTCCCTTTCTCCCTGGTTCCTAGATGCAGTGAGTGGAGCTGCTGTCCTCCACCAGCCCTTCCTCCATGATGTTTTTGACTTGCAACAAGCTAACAATGGAATGAGAAACCTCGAAAAACCAAAGCCAAATCAACATTTCCTCTTTTGTTTGTGTCAGGTTATTTTGTCACAGTGATGGAAAGCTGACTGATACAGAAGTCTAGACTGGCCCTTTGAAAAGTTTTAAAAATAACTTATAGCCGATTGCTGAGTAGTATGAATACATGCAAGCTCTCTTCTGCCTGCAGGTCCTAAGCTCAGTTTCACCACCTCCTTAAAGTCTTCTCTAGCCACCTGCACACTGGCAACTATTTATCCCTCTAGAATTCTCACTGTGATCATTAGGAACTCAGTATGTGTAAGCATATGTCCCTCATTCCGTGTCTTCTTAGACATGTGTTCTACTTTATCTCTCCCCTGCCCCATACTGGGGACTGAACTCACAGCCTTCACTCTGAAACAAGGACTTTTAAATATTTTTCTGACAGGGTCTCTCTAAGTTGCCCATGCTAGATTAGAATTTGCAATCCTCCTACCTCAGCCTGAGTGCTGATTACCTGTATGCCTGGCTCTCTGAACTTCATATAAATCCCATTAAGGAAAGGCCAGGTCTCCTATGTCTCCGGATCACTAACACCTGGCATAAATTTTGTGCACAGAATGAATTTAATAAAAATTTCCAAACAAAGGCTTCAAAATTGGCAAGTTATCACATCTTGTGGGACCAATGAATTGCTTATACTTTCCAGTAGGAAAAATGTATGACGGCAAAAGACATCACAGACACACACACACACACACACACACACACACACACACACACACACAGAGAGAGAAGCAAGCCATAACAGACTTGGAAAAGCTATTTATAAGGCATAAAATTAAAGGATTAGCATCTGGAACATACCTACAAAAATTCATATGAATTAAATTTTCAAAAAGGGTTAACAGGGCTGGAGAGATGGCTCAGTGGTCTAAAGCACCTACTTAGAACAAGTTCAGCGAAGCACAGGGACCACGGTTCAATCCCCCAGCACCACATGCCAGCCAGCCCGCCCCCTGGTGGGCTGAGCTGGCCACACACACACACACACACCTCTCTCTCTCTCTCTCTCTCTCTCTCTCTCTAATAAAAAAAAAATAAAAAAAAAGGGTTAACAACCCAATTGAAAATTATTTTGCATCTATAAAAGTCAAAAAATAAGAACCTTATATAGCCAATACATGAAAAGATGCCCCAGCTAACTAACAGTTGTGTAGTTGTGACTTAAAACTGCCATTAACTCTATTTCATACCCATTAGTTCAAAAGAATTAAGTCTGGGACCAAGGATATAGATCTTTTTTTTTTTTTTGCGGAACTGGGGATTGAACCGGCCCTTGTGCTATTCTACTGAGCTACCTCCCCGGCCCCAAGGATATAGAACAATGGCATCAGCACCTGCCTGATAAACACAAGGCCCCGACTTTGATCCCCAGAAATGCAAAAGAAAAAAAAAGAACTAAGTCCGACAATTTCATATGCAGCAAGAATGCTGAGCCACAGGGGCTTATATTCATCCCTCATGGGTTGCACAACATAAAAGTCACGTTGGAGAACAATTTGGAGTTAGCTAGGAAGGCTGCGGAAGTTCCAGTGACAGACTCTATGATCCAATAAGTTCCAGTGACAGACTCTATAATCCAATAAATCTTAAAGACACTCAATAATATTCACAAGGAGAAATGTATATGTTTATTGCAACATTATTTGTAATAGTAAAAAAGTGGAAAATAACCTAAATGCTGCTAGCAAGGAGAAAAATAAGTCATGAATTTGGCATCCAATAGTAGCATCAGTAGCAGTCATGGAGCCAGGTGTGGTAGTACACATCTGTAATCCTAGCGTTCAGGAGGCTGAGGCAGGAGAAATGCTTCAGGTTCAAGCTCACCTATGCTACATAGTGGGTTCTAAGTCAGCCTGAACTACATAGAAAGACCCTGTCTCAAAAGCCAAGCCAAAATAAAACAAAATAAGAAAAAAAAAAAAAAAAGAACAACAACAAAAACTCGTAGCAGGGGCTGGGGAGGTGGCTCAATAGAATAAGAACTCCCCTGGCAAGTGCAAGGGCCTGAGTTCAATCCCCGGTTCCACAAAAACAAAACAAAACAAAACAAAACAAAACCAACTAGTAGCAAAACTAGCAACAAGGGTAAATGCTGTCAAGCAACACTAAGAGAGTAACAGAAGAGGTACCATAGTCCGAGTACTCAGGAGGCTGAGGTAGGAAGGCCAGTTGAGCCTAGGAGTTCAAGACCAGTCTAGGCAACAGAGACCCCTGTCTCAAAAAAAACAAGACAAAACAAAACTGTAGGAAGATATGAATGCATGCAGTATAAGTCCATCTATGTAGAGATTAAAAGCAATGCAGGGGCTGGGGAGATGGCTCAGTAGAATAAGCGCTTCCCTGGACACTGGGTGCCTCCAAAGTTTTCATAATAGCTCCTTCAAGTCGGGCATGGTGGTGCACACTTATAATCACAGCACTTGTGAGGCTGAGGCAAGAGGATTATGAGCTTCAGGCCAGCCTGAGTTACACGGCAAGACTTGTTTCAAACAAAGTAAAGCAAGTTTGGTGGTAGGTATGTGGCTATTTTGTTATATTATTCTTTATACCATTAGTTATATCTGAAATAATAAAAAAGAAAAACATATAGGGACATAGTGCAAACAACATCATGGTTGTAAAGAAACAGCCAGGACTGATTGATTGACTGGTTGACTGATTTGAGAGAAGAGTCTCACTATGCAGTTCAGGTTGGACTTGAACTTGCTATGTACCCTAGGCTGACCTCAAACTCATGGTGATATGGTGATATGAGTTTGTCTCTGCCTTCCCAAGTGCTAGAATTATAGATACGCGCCACCACGCCTGGCTGAAGGCTGGGATTTTAGATTGGAAAAGAGAATGTTCATTGTGCTCAGGCACAGGTTAAATAAACAGAGAAGTCTCAGAAGTTGCTCACCTTTGCATTCCCTTCACCACAAAGACTTTGTTGGAATGCTGCTTCTCCAGTTTACTCATCACCTCGTAGAGACTATGGTTGAGCTAGAGACAGAAAAAAGAGAAAAAGGGGGGCTAGTCAAATGGGTACCTAAGTCGGTTCACTCCTCAAGACAGTATCCCCGAATAAAAATGGTTCACTTGTCCCACTCTGATTGGTAATTCCTGCTCCTCTCTCATGGACTAGCATCTAGCACTCTGTCTCACTATTTCTTTCCTGTTTCTCGGTGTCAGACTGGTAGCTTTCTCAGAATAGGTGCATAACTCTAGCTCTTCTCAGATGATCCAGAGAATGAAAACCCACCTCACTGTTAAGTAGGCAAATAATAACTTAGCAAAATAAATTGTAGAGGGGAGCGCGTGTGGCTGTGTGTAAATATAATAACAGAAGAGCAAAGCATTTTACAGCAGATGAGACCTCGGGAGGTCATGTTCTTGAGCTGCTCATCACTCACAGGACAGGACTAACCACCTGTGAAACTGAATTGTGCTTAAACACTACTTATCCAGTCCTCAACAAAAACATTTTGCAACGTGATTTTCCATTTTAATCATTCCTTTCAAGGCCCACCCTCTTGAGTTTAGATGCACTTAGTTGTTAAGAGATGGAAAGGGCCCTCTGACAAAAATATACATACCTCAATATATCAGTCTGCCCAAAAATGTATATACAATGGAAAAGAAAAGTTTGTTATAAATATTTTAATATTAAATTTATTGAGATATCATGAGATTAATACAAATTATTCTTGACCTCCACAATTATAAAAGGTGCTGAAATTGTGGCCATTAGCTTCCAGACATTTATTGGTATGGTGAGCTACTCAAGTGTGTATACATCTTTTCGGTGGTGTCACTCAACCTAGGCAATCAAGTGCTATAATTTCATAATGAGATAAAAGTTAAAGTCTACGGTGCCAATATGGAGGTATAAATAAATTATGTAAATCAGGGCAACTTTTATAGTCTTTAAAAAAACCTATTTAACAGTCTCAATTAGTCACTTGAGTCTCACCTTGCTCATCTCTCTGTAGAAGACATCCTTCAAGTTGGAAATATTTTGGAAGACTGTCACGTAACAGCCAATACGACTATTAGGAAGTAAAACAAGAAACACACACAGGTAAGGGATAGTAAAAACAAAAGCCTTTATGTGAAATACAAGGTAGAAACTAAGTCAAAACTAGGTACCAAGCTTAGCAAAGCACAGGGACCACGGTTCAATTCCCCAGTACCACATGCCATCCAGCCCCGCCCCCAGGTGGGCTGAGCTGGCCACAAAAAATAAATAAATAAACACTCGATAAAAAAACTAGGTACCACCAGGCCACTCAGAAAAAGGCACCTCTCATCCGAGCCTTGGATGTTAGCTCTAGATTCACCTGTGCTGGGCTAGACACACACCTGACTCCTAGGAACATGATAGCCAGGGGAAAAAATCAGAACTGACACCCATGTTGAAGAGATCTCTGGCTCATAAAGTTACATGATTTAGGCATTTAAGGTATTTTTAGACAAGCTCTCCCACCCTTTTACTATGGTACTAGACATTTAACCCAGGCCCTTTTGCATACCAGGCAAGCACTCTTACCACTGAGCTATTGTCCCAGCCCTCTTGAGGTACTAAAGTATACATGAAAGTGCTTTGAAACAAATCTTTTAAAGGGCTATAAAATTATAAGGCTAGGGCTGGTGAGATGGCTCAGTGGTCTAAAGCACCTACTTAAAACAAGCTTAGCAAAGCACAGGGACCGCGGTTCAATCCCCCAGCACCACATGCCAGCCAGCCCCGCCCCCTGGTGGGCTGAGCTGGCCACACACACACACACACACACACACACACTAAAAAAATTAAAAAATATATATATATAAGGCTATATAATTATAACTAGAAGTAGTTACTCTTTATATAACAGCATTTTTACATCTGTATGCACCTTAATGGAATTCTCTAGTAAATAAGTTGGGAAAGTTTACACTTAGAGAAACTGAACTTTAAAAAAAAGAAACTGAATCAAATTTTAATTCTATTTAACTTGAATCATATAAAATTGTTTCTGAATATATGTAGTCATGAAAAAGGATAGAAAATATGTGGATTAAGTTTAACAGTATACAGTATTCTGACCATGACTGCATTGAAACATATACAATGAAAATAAGGTACGTGGGGCTGGAGATCTAGCTCAGTGGCATAGTGCTCGCTTGAAAATAAGATATGAATAGAGTTATGCTCAGATTTCTCTTCCAGTGTGGACAATTTAAATCAAGCAATGACACCATCAGTAATGCAAGTGATCATCCCATGACTAATCTATGCAAATCTGGGTGTTTCTATGAGCCAAGCTTAAGACAATGTACACTTGAGCATGAAATCAGATCCTGACAATGTTCATGTCAACAGTTTGTCAAGATCTCCTTGCCAAGAAGCATCTTGTCTTCAAACCCAGAAAAGCTGGTAGTGCAAGGATGGTTATCTCTAAATTACAGGTGAAAAAAGCAGGCTCTAAAGAGATAAGGTGTCTTGCCTAATATCATACAGCAAGTTAGTGGTAGTGGTGCAGAGGCTGTATCCCATTCCTGGATCAAGCCTCTTTTCATGAGGTGGCATATTTTAGCTGCCAGGTGGCCCTGGCCCCTACTGGTCCAGAGGGATAGCACTTTGCTGAATCTCAGTTGTTACCTGTTATAGAGAACAGGCAGTTCCTCCAACAGCTCCTGGTTCAGATCTTCAAATACAAGCTGGGCTTTGTTGAACTCTTCCTCTGCCTAGGTACAAGAGACAAGACAACTCAACTTAATCCTGAATCCATGGCTAGAGGCTCCTTTATCCCTGCATTTTGTCAGGGACTGGGCTTATCCGGAGGCTGACTCTCCTCACCTTCCTTCTGCAGACCCAAGTCCTCCCAACCTCAAGACTCTGACTGCCCTTATAGCATGAGTGTCACAACTACCCTCTCCCCCTGCATTTTCTTTAGGACACCAGTTGCTGACTTTTAACATTTCTTACACACATCTTGGCCAGCCAGCTGGTCCTTCTCTGGGTCAAGAGAGAGCAGAAAGGATTTATGGTTTTGATTTTTTTTCACCTTGGCAATCTTGGCCTCATCTTTCTTCTTAGCGTTCTGCACTGCCTCCAGGTGGTGTCGGGCACTGTCATAGTCCACAAGTTTCCGACCCCGCTTGGCAATTCTCTCCT